GGAAATTAAACTACTCTAACAGAGCATGCAGCTTATACTCATTTGCAAGTATTTTACATGCTTAATGTGCAATCCAGTCCAATGCTCAACCCCAGGCCTTGACTCTGGATTCAGCTGCCTGCTCCATCACAAACTAGTTACATCCATGTTGCTCTACATTAGTGGCTCTCAAACTTTATAGACTCATAGCACTGCTTCAAAAGCAATGGCTCATTTTTTGACTACAGTAAAACAACTGAGCAAGTCTTCTGTTGCAAAGAACTTGGAAATCCCATAGCAGGGCCAAATGTTTGTGACACTACTGATTCTCATTCAACATTTTTGGGTTTAGCTTGTGACTTGTGTGTAGGTGTCTGCAAACCTAAGAGTGATGTGGCACCCCACGGCTCCCTCAAAAGGCTGCCAAGGGCACTGCTGCAGAAACCTGGCAGAGAATCGCTGCTCCACACTCAGATGTTGTTACTGGAGTTGTAACCATAAAAACTGCTAGTGTCCGCTCCTGAGAAGCACTGCATAGCAACTGAGCTTGCTAAAAAGCTACTAGTTACCAGTTAAAGCTAAACAAAGCAGCTGCAAGTTTGGTTATAGTAGAAACTTTGTCCAGGGCAGTGAGAAGATGTTCAGAAAGAAAAAAAGAACAGAAAGAGTATGCCAGTCTGGGTGTGTTGGGTGTTTGTGCCTGAAAGATTGCAAAGAATAATTTTTCCAACTAGTTGGTCTAATAATAGATATCATATCTACCCAAAGAGCCTTGTCTGCCTATGTCCTTAGACCAGGGATGGGGAACGTCCAGCCCATGGGCCAGATCCAGTCGGCTGGGGACTCCATTTTCCAGTTGCCCCTGCCTGCATGGCTTGTGCCAGTCTCCATGGAGACCCCAGACTCAGCCATGCCAGCAGCGCGTGTAGCAGAGCAAAGGGCTGCTCTGGAGCTGCTGGGAACTTGGGATGCGGGTGGCTTGTTCCAGAGCAAGGGCAGAGCCACAACCTGTAGCCTGCATGCTCCAAGCAGGGGCGCGCATGCAGGGGATTGTGGCTCTGCCCCAGCTCCTTGCAGCAGTGACAGCCTGTCTAGAGCTGGGGTAGAGCCACGATCCCCTGCATGCGCGCCCCTGCTTGGAGCATGCAGGCTACAAACCGTAGCTCTGGACCAAGCTGCCCCTGTCCCACGTTCCCAGCTCCGGAGCAGCCGCATGCACTGCTCTGCTGTGCGTGCTGCTGGCACAACTGAGTTCTCCATAGAGACGGGCACAAGCCATGTGGGCAGGGGCAGCTGGGAAATAGAGTCCATGGCCGACAGGTGGCCTGGAGGTTTCCCATGCCTGCCTTAGGCCAGCACAGCTACAACCAACAGCCCTTTAAACATAAAGGGTTTTAAAAAAAAACAACATACCCAATGACAAGGACTCAATTATGCCAATCACCTATAAAGAGCCAGTAACAGAGCAAACAGGGTAAAACAAAAGCATGCATAAGTAACAAAAAGCATGACAACGGCCCTGAATGTCCCAGTGAGACCCTGGACTGTCTGATCATCAGAACAGGGAGCCAGACTGGCTGCAGGGTAACCAGGTATGGAAGTGGTGCCTGCTGAATACGTTGACATTTGTGCAGGAGAAACTCCTGCCTCTGGAGCAGGGGTTCCCAACCCCCTGGCCCCAAAGGGTTGGCTACCAGTCTGCAGGATTGGCTGCTAGACCAGAAGTGACCAAGTATAAAAAAGGGCTGCCTGCCTGCAGCATGCTGGTCACTGCAGGTCCTCAACGTAGAATGGTTGGGAACCCCCGCTCTGCAGCGCTCTCTCTCAACAACCCACTGGTTCCCCAATCCAAGGCCTTAAAGTACCAGAGCTAGGATTTTAGTGAAGAGAAGGCCTTGTATTAGGCTCGGGAGAGCTGAGACCCATGGGGCTGTCTGGACAGGGCACGTGCGCGCTCCGCCGCCCCAGGAGGCCGGGGCCGCCCTGCCCCACGCGTGGCCGGAGCGAGACCCCGCCCCGCGCAGGCTCCAACCGCCGTTGGACGCCCCCCAGTTCTAGAACCCCCCCCCCCACAACGGCTGCGGGAGAGGGGCGGGGTCGAGCGCAGCACATGCGCAGCTCTCCCCAGCGGCTGCAGGAGACCCCGTGCTCTCTCCAGCGGCCGGTAAGCGCCCGCCCTCCCCCGTCTGCGGGGCGTTCCCAGGCCCCGCGCGCCCTCGGGCTGCCCCGGGGACTGGCTGGGTGATCAAGGGCCTACCCGGGGCTGAGCCCCGCCCGCGGCTCAGCGGTGGGACTGACCTAGGTAGAGCACGACGGGGATGAAGCCCCAGCGGATGGCGAACTGGCCACCCTTGAAAAGCTGCTGCAGCCGCTGCTTGGCTTCTTTGCTCAGCTTCGGCATCCCGACGGCGCGAGCGAGGGCCGGAGAGGAGGGGCTTGGGCGCTACCGTCACTGCGCCTGCGCGGCGGGAGGTGCGGCCTGGCTTAGGCCCCTGCCTTCCTCCTCCGAAAGGGAGGGGTGGGAGCAAGGCTGCGAGTCGCCCCTCCCGTCCCCTCCCCTCCCCTCCCCTCCCGCTGCCGGCGTGCGGCGGGCCCGGGCCCGGGCCCGTAGGGGGCGCGCGGGTCACGCGGGACTCGCCTGTGGCTC